AATTGTGAGTTTTTAAGTGTCTTATTATAAAAAAAATCATGTGGAGTATATGAATGGGTATTTTTGGAGGGCATTCGGTTAATGAGAAAAATTGTTGTTAGTAGTGCTTCAAGCCAAAATTTTAGTGGGAGGGAGGCATCATATAAGAGTGTTCTAGTGGTTTCAATCAGACGAAAATGTTTACATTCTTAGACTCCATCTTGTTGAAGCATTTTTGGGCATGAAAATTGGTGAATTATACCTTATTGGGTAAAAACACTTTTAAGGTTTGAGTTGTTATATTCACGAGCCCCATCAGATCTGAATATTCTTATGTTGGTATGAAATTGATTCTTTATCATTTGGATGCATGCAATGTATTTTTTTGTAAGTTCAAATTTATACATCATAGGGTATAGCCAACAATAGTTGGAATACTCATCAACGAAAATTATATAATTTCAAAACATGATTGGATGGTGTTGGGGACGGACCCATACATCAAAATGCATGTGTTGGATAGGTAAATACATGCTTAAAGAATGTGAAGAAAAAAGTTTCTTATGATTATTATTACATTTACAACTATAACATAGTGGTAGATGGTTGGGGATGTCAAGTGTTGGTTGAGACTTCGATAAATTGTAGAGAGTGTCTTATTAAGGATGTCCAAGTCTTTTATGTCAAATAGTAGACATTTGAGCGGATGCAGCCAAAGCTTAAAGATCAATTGGACTATTCAATTTGGGTTGAGAAGTAGTGATGCAATATAACCCGTTAGAGTTGTGCCTGCATAGCAAGATTTGGTGGGTATGCATAACAAAGATGAGAAAACCAATACGATCAAATATAATAGCCATGTTATTATCAGCAATAAGTTTGAGAACTGACATAAGATTGTTAGAAAAGGATGATACATGCCAGATAATAGGGAGACGAAGTGTACGAGTAGGTGTAAGAAGTATACTATCATGTGTATGTCTGACTGCTATCGATTGCTCATTGTTTACAAGAATTTGCTCTGATCCCTTGGCAAGAGCAACAACTTGTAGTTATTTGAAGTGATCTAAATATTGATGCTTGTTAATTAATGGCTTGCCCCCTCCATGAGTTGTTCTATCTGCCATGGGATGCTGTGAGGGTCAGTTATGGGTTTGCAATGCGTTTCAATTTATGATTATCATTTGTTTGACTGATCTCGACACCAGACAACAGGGAATAAAAGTTGTTCAGTGTCATGAGTTGCAGTCGAGTGTGTATTGATGTCTTAAATGCTTAGTAGTTAGCCAGCAGTCTACTCAGTGTGTAGGGAATAATATCTTCACTACCTAGGTGTCCTACTACTGATACATTGTTGACCAATGATTCAATGGCTTAGAGGTATTGATTCATTGATTGGGAATTCATTGATAGGTTGTTGAGTTCATTTTTTTATTGAATCAGGTGTGATATGATGGTCGGGTGGAGGCGCTTTGCTATGGTGTTTCGGATCTCAGCAATGGTAGATAGGTGTAGAACTAAAGGAAAAATTATTGGAGAGATGAAAAAAAACACAAAACAGCTGTCAAGTTTTGATCAATCTGAATCTAACTCATATATTGTGGATTTGGAGTTGGGAGTTTCAATTGTAGAAGGATGGAATATCAGTGGGCAGGGTGTATGCCTTGTAGAAATCCAATAAATGCATTAGTCTTGAATGCTTTTAATATTTGGGATTTCCATATGTGATAATTTTAAAATAATAATGGGTTTTGGGTGAGATTTTTGATATTATTCATAAAAAATTTCAATGATGGTGGTATAATGTTGGTCAGCATTGGTTCCAAGGAGTCGTGGGTTTCAGACAACACAAAATTAGACATTTGTATAGAAGGAATGAGGATTCAAAAACATGGGTAAAGAGGAAGAATAAGTGGATCCTTACACTAATTATTGCAGTCTTCGATCAGTGACTACCAAAGCAACTTGTGGAAAAGCCCGAATCAGCTTGGGCAATACAATACCATAAAGCATTAGATAGGCTAAGATTGCTCGAGCAAGATATGAGAGACTATTTTCTCATTAGTAAAGTAACCTAGTACTACATAAACACAATCAAGTTATTATGGATTCTATTTGTTCTCCACCTTTATGTTGTCAAACTGAAATCCATTTTGCTAAAGCCATTCACTTATGGTTATTATAGCCAACCTTCCTCTTTTTTTTAAGTTTTATATACATGTAACAATTCTTATGTATTTACATTACAAATACTTAAATTTTAATATTCACATTTATACTTCACAAAAGCATGAAAAAGAAACATACTTAATTTTGTAAAAAAAATTTGTTATAAAGATATGTTTCATGTGATATAAAAAATCTTAATATAATAATTATAATATTTAAAGTTTATATGTTTCACATAAAATTTATGTGGCATGCGTGTGACTTCTTCATATAGAATCACATACTTCCATATAATGGCAAGACACAGCGATGAAATTGCTTTCATTCTAGTTCAAAAATTATATTTATTAATCACTCAAACAACGATGAATGAATCAAAAGAACAAGCAAGCGGACACGAAAGCAAATTGCTATTTCATGTTCAAGCTTCCTAAGATTTGGCATGGAATTATGTAATTTGTAATAATTTGTTGCTTGGCTTGTTGCAATTGTAGTAGTGCGCGACCATTTCATGACATTTAATGGAACAAGTTAGAAAGCAGACTAAAAAGTAATTTGACAGGAGAAAATTTTTCATGCGGACTCCGATGTTGTATACGGAGTCCAATAAAATTTTGTCATCTCGCTGGAACAAGTTAGAAAGCAGACTAAAAAGTAATTTGGCAGGAGAAATTTTTTCATGCGGACTCCAATGTTGTATACGGAGTGCAATAAAATCTTGCCATCCACGCCTTTCTCGTTAAATATGTAAATATAAATATAAAGAATAAATATATATATATATAATATAATAATAATATAATATTATAATATAATATAATAATAATATATTATAAAATATAAAATTTATAATATAAAATTATAAAATTAAAATTATATAATATAAAATAAAAATAGAATATATAGAATATATTCATTCTATTAATTATTAATTTAGATATGGTTAGATATAGATAATAGATACTTTTTTTTCAATAATTTAATAATTTATAAGATATTCTATCTATTAGAATTTTATCTAATTTCTAATAATTAGGAATGGCAATGAAAATTCTTCTTTCTCGAAGTATGTGTCCAGATAGTCCAAAGTCTCGATAGTTCGCTCTAGGTCTTCCGGTTAAAAAACAACGTCGATGAAGACGTATAGGCGCACTATTACGTGGTGAGGATTGCAATTTTCCATGAATTTTCCATTGTTCCCTCAACGAGGGAACTTTGCTTATTTCTTTTTATAAGGATTGCAAATTACGTGCCAATACTTATACTTAACCAGGCCGGAGAAATGAAGTTTTTGTTTTGTACAAAATAAAAGAAGTAAGGTATTCTTCCTATTCTTTTTTCATATAGATTTATGATTGAGATTTAGAGTTACTAACCTCTTCTATCACTAACCTAATAACAAACATATTAATTTGATATTCATATTTGATATTTATATATACAAGGAATGGGTGAAATGTAAGTAAATATATTTTTTGTGATAAAAAAATTGGGTGGTATGTATGTAAAAATTAAAATGATGGTAATTTTTTATGTGATACACGAATTAGGTGGTATGTATGTAAATAGATTTTTTAAGTGATAAAAGAATTGGGTGATACATATATAAAATTAAAACGAGAGTATTTTTAATGTGATATAAGAATTTAGTGGTATGTAAATATATTTTTATGTGATATAAGAATAAGATGTATGTAAATAAATTTTTATGTGATATAAGAATTATGTGATATGTATATAAAAATTAAAATGATAATATTTTTTATATGAATAACACCTCAATAACTCCGAAAAAAAAAAACAACAATGAAATTTCGAAGCAATGGGCTGATTCAGGCCGGGTCGCACGTTAAAATAAAATATTTTTCATTTTTTATACAGTGGGACCACCACGGTGGCCATACATGACAAAATTTTATCGGACTCCATCTATAACTTTACGTGCGAAAATTTTTCCGTTAGAAAGAGACTGACTGGCCAACTAAGGCTGCAGAGCTTGCCTCATGAATGTAAGAGTAATCTAGCAGATATGCATATAAGAAATAGTAAGACATGATTTTTTTTAAATGCAAAGTCATCCAAAAGAAAGAAAATAAGAAATAATATTAGCAAAAACCAACAGCAAAATCTATGTGATTACAAACATTCAGAATATGAAGAACCTATGCAGATTTTTTGGTCTCTGCTGCATTCTGGTCTTCCTCCTGCTTCTTCCTCAAAGATGGAGGTGGCCTAACCACAATGCTCCTTTTCCATTTTTTGTCAAGCTTCCTTGATAGCCTTTTGTTTATTCCTTCTTCAATCTCCCTCTCTCTCTTTATAGTAAGCATGCGCGCAATCTACATTCAGAAAAACTCTCTGCTAACTCAGAAGCTTCTTAATTTGTGAAGAGCAACTTTCAAATCATATGAGATTAGTTCATAAATCAGATTATTTACTGTATAAAAGGCTTCAATGGTGTTGCCACAGTAACTCGTGTTGGTGTTTTACTAAAGAATTGGTTTGATATTCTTGGAGTAAACTGATTTAAACAAGAAAAATTTGCATATATACATACCACTCTATTCTTAAGCATCTGCATATTTAACAACTGAACTACAATTTTTATGTATATACTAACTTACCAATGCAGGAAATGGTGTATTTCACCTTTTAGAAGTTAAAATGGCTGTATTTTTAATGTGATGTGAAAGATTTGGGTGGTATAATGTAAAAAACAAAATTAAGGTTGTAGAACTGTAAATAATAGGAATTGGGTGGTATGTATAATGTACAGCAGTACAAAATATTCTATGTTGCATTGATTATTAAACTAGGACTAAAATAACAAGGCAAAAAATTGTGGCTTTAAAGATGGAATATGGAAAGGTATTTAAATAAAATCGTGCTACTGAGGCCAAAAAGGGTCAGTAAACTAATGATATGTTGGCAACGATACAAGATTTACAGCTAGCCGACTAGTATTCAATTTTTGAAAGCTTTTTGCTCTGCAAAAAGAGCGAAAAGCAGCCAGATTATTGTTTCTCTCATTGTTCTGCTCCTACTTTCATTAAAATTCTGCAGCATGAATGGACATAAGAAAACCGGGGAACCATTGCACTCCATGATTCACTAAAATAGAACTGCTGAAAATGCCTGTAGAGTTTTTATATATATTTTGGAGTTCTGTTGATATTAGCGAAACATGTGATGACTATAAAGCATAAAAAAATATTTGTGTGATAAGGCATTTCCTTTGTCATTAATCATATTTAGGAGGTGTTTGGCTGCTATTAGGATTTAACTTAAATAGGATTTAATAAGTCTGCTAAATCTAGATTTATAAAATCCAGATGCTTTTAAATCTGGAAGAGTGTTTTGTTTAGTTAAGGTTAAATCTATTTGACGTACTTGCCATTGGTTTGCTATGTTTTCATCCCAAGCTAAATCCGGTAAATCCACCTACTAGACGGATTAATAAGGCAGTGTTTGGTAGCAAATTATTTATAGGATTTAGCAATGGATTTAGCTTACATCCAGCCAAACACCAAAAATAAATTAAATCTAACGCTCCGTTAAATCAAATTTTCTCGGGTTCCATCTAATTCTTCTCGTGTTCCGTCACTTTTGAGATGTAAATCTGAATTTCATAAATCCAATTGCGAGTCCGATTTATTCAGCTGCCGCTCGCAATCTCTTCCCATCACCGACTCTATACCACTCTATTCTTAAGCATCTGCATATTTAACACCTGAACTTCAATTTTTATGTATATACCTTAACCATGCACGAAATGGTGTATTTCACCTTTTAAAAGTTAAAATGGCAGTATTTTTAATGTGAGGTGAAAGATTTGGGTGGTATAATGTAAAAAACAAAATTAAGGTTGTAGTACGGTAAATAATAGGAATTGGGTGGTATGTATAATGTACAGCAGCACAAAATATTCTATGAAATCGTGCTATTGAGGCCAAAAAGGCAGTGTTTGGTAGCAAATTATTTATAGGATTTAACAATGAATTTAGCTTACATCCATCCAAACACCAAAAACAAATTAATTCTAACGCTCCGTTAACTCCAATTTTCTCGGGTTCCATCTAATTCTTCTTGTGTTCCGTCACTTTTGAGATGTAAATCTGGATTTCATAAATCCAATTGCGAGTCAGATTTATTCAGCTACCGCTCGTGATCTCTTCCCATCACTGACTCGATTTGATAAATCCAAATTTATCGGATTTTATAAATCCTATTAAACGTAAATCTAACATACAATCAAACCCCGCTTAAGTAAAAAAAAAAGACAGAAGGGATATAATTTGGATTTAGCAGAACACTGGATTTAGATATGCTATTATTCATGATTGGCTGGATTTACGTTAAATCCCGACATAAATCCTATTAAAATGGTGCTACCAATCACCCACTTCATTATCACTGTAAAGGTTCATTTATAATATTATGCTTCATCTTGAGATGACTTTAATAAGAAAAATAATAGAAATTCTATATTTTATATTAATAAGTTATAAAGTATGAAATCACCTCTATGGTGTATTATGTTATAATTTTTCCAATTATATAATGTTACCATGTTTGTGTTGTATCGTGATAGCATCCCTTATTCATGTCTATGCTTCATAGGTTTTCTCTTTGGGTTCTCTATATGTTGCAATTTTCTATGTAAATTTTGAATTGGAAGACAAATTTGATTTGATGTATAGGAGCATGGTTGTAATGGGGGCTCATTCTTTAATTCTTAGCGAAGGGTCACGGGTGATATGGATGATCAAGGGTATTACGATCAATCAGCAAACTCAAATAATTTTTGAAAGGACAACATGAAAAAAAGGGATGACTATCAAAAACACAATTATCCAAAAAAATTTTTTTTGCATCATCAAGTTGATAAGTATAAGGTAAGGCTGTAAGCAAACAAGTTAACTTAATGAACAAATAGTTAGTTCATATAATGTTCCTTGATGTTTGTTTATTTACATAATTGAGCAAACTTGCACAGTTATTTAAGAACTTGCAATATAAATGAATAAAATTGAACATTGACTCATTTGTTTATTTATGTCCGTGAACATGCACTTATGTTGTTTAACAGGTAGCTCATTAAGAACATGGAAAAATGCTCATTTAGCATTGGCTTATTTTATATTTGATAAATTATTTAATATTGTTGTATCAATTTTCAAAATAGTTGCAGAAAATAAGTAATGGGAAGAACTCTCAAAGAATTTTCATTCCTTTCTACGTGCAAGAAGGAATAGATACA